TCCCACAAATTTATGAGTAGAGCTTACCTTTCCTTTGAATTTCACACAGCGTATCACATGCACGGTAATGATTAGAGTCCCACTGTGGGTGCTAATGAAATCGCTTTAGGCGAGGTCGAGACTGCAGTCCACTCTTGTCTGGATGGGAATATCTTTTTAGAAACAATTTTATGTGAAATTCTACCAGTCATCTTATCAACTTAACATAAATAGAATGAATACACTTCACGTGTATGGCTTGCTGGTGGTCTCGAAAAGCCTACTTATAAATGAAAATTCCTTATCTCCTAATTGTACAATTTCTTGCGAAATGAAGGTCTCTTCAGCAATGTTATCGCGCGAGATCCAAAGTAGATCTTAACTTTTACCTACTTTTATACGTGTGAAGATTGCTTCACAGTGTCTAATTGACTTTGTGTTTTGGGTTCACAACTAGGATTTCGAGACTATCGGTAAATTTTGTGTTTTCTCATCGTTTCCCTTGTCCTCGATTTGCATACTCACATGCTGGAAAGGCGCGATAATGTTCGCCTTCTTCGATTCGGCCACTGTGGATCGTGTAATCCAGGCTTTGCCGCCCGTCGGAATTGGGATCAAGTACAACCTGCCTCAGGCGCGCAAGTCAACCTCGGCGACCCCGGCCCAACTGTTCGCGCAGTCAAGCCTCACCCAGCGCTGGCAGCAACGGGAGATGTCCAACTTCGATTACCTCATGTACGTGAACACAATCGCGGGACGCACTTTCAATGATCTCAACCAGTACCCCATTTTTCCGTGGGTTTTGGCCGACTACACCAGCAGCCAACTAGACCTCAGTCAGCCGGCTAGTTTCCGCGACCTATCTCGGCCGATTGGCGCATTAAACGTGGAGCGGAAGGCGTTCTTCGACCAGCGATACGCGGAATGGGAGGATGAGACACAGGCTCCCTTCCATTATGGCACTCACTATAGCACAGCCGCTTTTGTACTCAACTACCTGGTTCGGATGGAGCCGTACACGACGCTCTTTCTCAACCTGCAGGTAAATCGAAAAACGGCCAGTTAGCATATCTCAACTTAACTCAACTCTTCTCTTCTCTTCTCTTCTCTTCTCTTCTCT